GGGGCGCTCTTCCCCTACAAGGGGGGGGGGGGCAGAGAACACACACAACTCAGTTCCCAGTAGATACGCTACATTAATAACCCTCCTCCCACCGCTGCCAGGTGTCAGCTCGTCACTGTCTGAATGACTTACCTGCTTGTCTGTTTTGGGCAGAAAACGGCAGCCCTGCCCCCCATTTTGAGTAGGCACCACTGACTGACATCTTGAATGCCGTTTCCCCCCTTATTAATGTCAATTTGCTGAGCAAATTGCAATTGGATCAGTTTTTCTTGGACAGCCGTTTCGGTGGTATTTTTGCTTGTGGTCGGTTGTCCATTCAGAAATATAGGGAGATGTGTGGAAGCACGATGTTTTTCAAATATGGAGTCTCACATTTAGCCAGGCTCGTAAGGTGCTGGCCCTAATTCACACACAGGTCTATTTTTTAACAGGAGTTAGAAGCCACTGAGTTTTTCTGAATATTTGCTCTCTAACAAGGAGCTTAAGGTGCAGGTCCTCTGCATGAATGGGTGCTGCTTCCCAGCAATGTTATTTACAGTCAAACTCTTCATCAGAATACCAACATTTATATCTGTCCTAACTGTTTAAGCAGAATGAAGAGACCAGTTTTGATGCAATGCTGCAAAAATGCACTGCATCTATCAGCTGAGTTGCATCACATGGACATAGTCAGCTTGCCATCTTTTTTTTCTCCCAGTTTCTTGTTTCAGAAAAACTTCCCCCATTTCCCGGCATTGGTATCATTGGTGACCCTGTGCTGTTCTCTGTGTGAGTGTCAGGGTTACGCCAGCTTTTACATTCGCTGGTTAGTTCCAATTGTACGTTGGGGAAAAAAAGGACTACGTTGAGGGACGAGAGCCAAGCTACTGGAATGCCAAGACAAATGGCCGACCAGGCCAACGGCAGCATGTGGAATACATTTTTGCTGTCCAAGCTTGTTATTCCTGTGTTGTCAGTGATTGTTTGGGCTACTTAAATGGACAATTTTCTCCTTGTTGCATCAGTCACCTCTAGTAATTTTTCAGTCACTCTTGATCCAATGACATGCTCCGCAGGTGGAGATTAAAGAACTGTAGGTTAGTGAACTTTTAAAACAATCAGTTGAATACAACTTAATTCCGCATCTCCAAGAAGATAATAATCACTGGCCAAGGACAGGATTACACATTTAATAGGTTTAATTAAAATATTTCATTTCAAAATCCAAGCATAAAGGTGGCATCCACAATGACAAATCAGTACCTAAAGAAAGAAAAATAGACTCCAATTTACTTGAGGAAGATTCGAGTAAAGCCTGAAACTTCCAGTCTTATTTGAAACATTATTTGGCTAAACCTTAACTTCTTGAGCCTGAATGGAGGTAGATAAGGACATAGGCTCAAGTGAAAGCTCAGTGGATTGAAAGTAAGAATTTAGATTTAAATCCTCTAACCCTCAGTGAGTGGCAAGTCCCACATTAAAATGCATTTGCTGCCACATGAATACTCAGGGAATCCCATTGCTTCACTTCTCTGTTGTGTTTATGTAAGCACACTGCTCTAAAGATAGCTAATAGACATTCAGCACTTCATTTTTTTTCCTATCCTCATCCATCAAAATGAATTGAACTTGGCATGTCAAGCCTGCGCTATGAATTCCCATGGATTTCAGGAGAGCCCCTAACATACTATTTTTTTTTTTCCTCAAACACAGCTGTGACAGTGATGGAGGTTTTATAATTTGTGGCAATTATTAGGTCTGCAGTCTGCAGACATGACATACTCCGACACCTGTTTTTGTAATTCCCGTTGATTTTCAGTGTCACAACCGTGGCTGAGTAGTGAGACGGCAGGGAGGAGGCAGACAGTTACATCAGCGAACCTTTCAGTCAATCACAGCGTTTTTGAAGGTGCTTAAAATGGATTTGTAATAATGAAATGAAACGTCCTACAAGTCAAACATCAGGTCGCCTAAGAGTTATGGCTCCACGCTATTGTGGATATGTTGTGATATGATAAGTTATACCCTTGTAGTTTTAGAAATATTAAATGGAATATTGTAAAAAGCTTACTTTGGCATTTAGTCAGTGTAAATTAAATCTTTTTCAGGAAGTAAATTAAATCTTTTTCAGGAAGTTCTTTAATATACTGTGTATTTTCTCTGGACGGAGTTTTGTACCATCTTGCATTTTGCCCTGAGCCATGCTGTGATTTCAACTTGGTATTTATGTTATGCATATATGTGTGAATATTGCTTATTATGCACTGAATTGAGGTTTCTCCTTTGTCCTTAAAGCATTTTCTTTTAAAAACACTCATCTGCTTTAAATGACATATCTTTAGTCCCGTTGATTGCTGCAGAGGTTCTCTGCTACTCGTTTACCGTGTCTCTCGCTTTGTCTCTCCGTTTCAGACATCACTCGCCACCAGGTTTGCACAGGAGGCCTTTGGGAAGCAGTACAAACAAACCATCGGCCTGGATTTCTTTCTGAAGAGAATAAGCCTTCCAGGTGAGACACCTCCATAATCTTTAGGGAGTGCTCGCTTGTTTAGAGACTCAGCGAGGACACGCGTGTTGCACAAGCACGTTAAAGCAGACTTGTTAATTCAATAATATACGGTAGTATTTGGAAAAGATTGTATTTGCACTGACTTTACTGTTGTACTCTAATATAGACCTTAAGGTTTGGATGTTTGTGTCTACTTTACATTATCCATGTTAAACAGATCCAGAATATTAATTGAAAGTCTAACAAAGAGGCCTGTTGTTCCGCCATCACTTCCTGTCATATTTTTACTTCACATATTTTCTGGCACTGATCATATTTTCTTGTCCGACCATTTCCAGGCAGAGTTTGTTCTTCAGGTTAACTCGGGAGCTGAATGTGTCTTTTCTGGTAGCTCCTCATTGTAGAGTGTCTGCCACTTCTCAGGCTTATTCACTCTGAAAGCTCTTCTCTCCAGAGCAAACAGCACACTCTTTTTTACATTTTTGGACTCCACAAGGCCAATGGACAGCTTATGTCCAAACGGGCGAGCCTTGCCCATAATTCTGTGGGCACCGTACAGAGTAAATACATTAACATTTTATATCCATATCGCTGATCCCAACGTTCAACCGATCGTTGTCCTGCACCACATAAAACATTCATGTTCTTGTTTGTTTATGTTAAACCCTCAGAAATAAAGCCACACTCTGTATCCCCCTTAGATCTGTAAAATAAATGTTTGTTGACTGATGCTATATTTAGATGAAAGCACTCCATTTTTACTTCCTACCAATGGTAAAATGGGGATTTTCTGCATTTTAAATGGCATATCTAAAACTCTGCCATGGCCTAAGCTCCAGAAATCTGCAAAGTGGCTCCATTCTTTCATTACTAATAAAACAACATTAAGCAAGGGCAAATTAAGTGCTAAAAGTAAAAGTTATGCTGATTTGTAAGTTGGCCGAAGGATTCTATTTTGATTTTGTGTCAGTTTCAGCTTATGAGACTTAGGAGAACTAAACCCCCAAAAATGCTGTGGTGGAGTCAGGATGAAGAGAGCCAACCATAAGCACAGGCTGGGCTCAAAACCTTTTAATACGAACTCGGACAAATGCTGTTAATCGTTTGACTTCACTTTCCAGTAAGTTTCTGTCCCGAAATATTCACTGAACTCTCCAGTGTTGAACTGTAACCTTTGTTTAAACATAGTGTGTACGTACGTCTGTATCACTGGGGCAGCAACAACACCGGGTCCAGCACCAGAGTTGTTAAATGGCCCATTTTTCTGGGGAATTGGGTGTTGATGAGCTGATGAAGAGGAGGGTGGCTCTGCGAGCTGGGTGGTCCCAAACTTCGTTAGGACCCCCACCCCGCCTTGTATTGGAGAGGTTGTGCGGCTCTCCGGGTCTCTATGGGGCTGTAAGGGTCTTTTGCAGCAGGGGGGAGAGTAGGCTATAGCCATGAAGGCCCAGCTTGTCAAACTTAATGTACATTTTTCCAACGCTGGGAGAGGTGAGGCGAGGCCGACTGGCACACAACAGCCTCCTCTGTGTGTGCTTTTTATAACAATACCTCTTCCAGATGTCTCTGCCAAACCAATGAGGTACATGCGGTGAAGGGGATTGGCTAGAGGTGAAGTTTACTTCATACATTCTCTAACTATCCGACGCTGCTTTGTCTGCGTCCACCTCCAGTCATAAGACAATTATCAACATTCCCCTTTTCCTGATCTTATCAGTTTAAGTTTCATCCATTGGGCTCACTATCGCAGTTTCTACTTCTTGCGAAGCATAAGCAGAAAAATGTCAGAACTGTTGAGTCAGCGTGAATCTTTGAAACATAAATAAAGCTAGTGTCCAGGCACGGTGGATGGGTGGGGATGGCTCTTTATAACACCGAGGGAGCGTTATTCATTGCACTCCTCAATGTAGCTTTACATTGACACTGTATAGTCTAGATGTAGTGACTGTGAACCTCAGCGTTTCCTTTCCTCGCTTTAAAAAGGTCACTTATGAAGGGGTTGAGTCGTCCAGCCGTGTCCACAGAGTACGCTCTGCTCCCCATCGCCACTCCAGCCCAGCACCGAGCCCTCATCACACCAACATAAACTCCTCGCTGTCTGGTCCTCCCTCCTCTTTTTTTTTGGGGACTTTTTTTTTTTTTTTTTTCAACCACCCCTTTCATTTTCCAAAGGAAGAAAATATTTATTTGGATTTGGTTTTTGTGCCCGTCTTTCTCTCTCTCTCTTTCCCTCTTATTCACTCCTTCTTTCTCTTTCCACAGGCATTAGGACAAGAGTCTTCTTTTCCTCTCATTTTGTGTTTAATTATTGCTATTTTCCTTAACAGCACATAATTCTCCTCACTTCCCCAACTTGGCAGGATATGGCACCATGCAAACAGCTCTAAGAAGCCTTTTTTTTTTCTTCTAGGGTATTGAGAATGTTTAAATTAGAGGGTATGCGTACCTATTCATCCCCCTCAATATCTGGGCTGAATATTCCTGGATGTGAGGTGTGGGTGACCTGCCAGGCAACAGCGCTTAGCATGAAGGATTAATTGCTGATTTATTGTTTCCATTATGTATATCAACAACGTGGACTTTAATTATAGAAATCGCTCACCCAAATTACAGGGTCCAGTTACAGCTGACTCGTTATTTCCTCCCAATTATGAGCTTTGTTAAAACAAATAAGTTAATGATTAAAAAGGAAAAATACGTCCAGAATAGAAACCCACAAGTTGCAACATTATCGTTTTTGCTCTTTTTAAAATGTTAAGCATTGTTAAGCAGACAAACTGATTTTCACTCTTCACTCTGAAACATCTATGCCTATTTGTCAGTTAAATGTTTCTGTCTCTTTTCTCCTCTGTAGGCAACTTGAATGTGACATTGCAGGTGTGGGACATTGGAGGCCAAACGTTAGGCGGGAAAATGCTGGATAAATATGTATACGGAGCTCATGTAAGGACACGCACGCACGCACGCACGCACTAGATGATTGTGACAAAGCTACAGGGAGCACAAGAAGAATTAGTTTCTAGACTTATTATGACAGCTTCATTCAGAGCTCCCCCTCCCTCTGCAGCCAAATCACAAGAAGTCCTTTGGATTCACAGTGAACACAGAAGGTCAATAGAGCTTTAAAAATCAGCACATCTCTACTTTTACACAGTTACAGTTCGATGTTTTGTGTCGGACTGAACAAATTTTGAAAACACTGTAGATCAATACTACAACTATTCAAAAACTACATTCCTAAACATGTATGCTTTTATTGCTGCCAAATTCATTTTTTTATTCAATGCCAAGTATCTGATAGCACTCAGCTCTTACATGAAGGAGTGTAGGAAAAACAGGCTACTAATTGATCCATTTACTCCCACTTAATGCTTGTCCTGTGTTGATTAAAAGGACAGCCGAGCTCTGTGCAAACGTTTGTGTCGGTGCATACCAGTTATACATGTGTCCGTAACATCACTGTCCACAAGTAGCTGTGTTGCTACAGACGAGTGCCACCTGTCACCTCCAGGATGTCTGTGGTTTGAGGAGACCTTCTTAAATGTCTAATCTGAGATCCATATTGCAGCACAAGAACATTTGTCTCCTTCCTTCACAAGCAAAATGTTTGTACCTCACTGCCACATTACGACACTTTGCTTAGCTTCTCGTGAGCGCTGTGTGGAACCTCCACACCTATTGTCCAGCACTGTGCGTCCTGTAATCAATCATGGCTGTTCGGAGAGACTTGCAGTAATTGTCAGAGGCCTGAGCTGTCGTCACAGACCCTGTGTGTTGTGACAGTGCGTGTCCGCCGAACAAAAAGCAACAGACTCCCCTTCAGTCGTGTTGCATCATGCAGTAAAAGTAGAGACAATTACCATGACTTACGTTTAATTTCCAGGCCCAGAAACCTTTAAGCAGTGATGGCAGTGAGTTAACCTGTGTGATTATTCATCTTGATTTATGCCAACCGCTCTTGTATCTCTGTTTACTCTTTAATTAATTTATGTGTCTATGTAAACAGCTCCCTCTGGCTTCAGTGTTTGCTCAAACATGAGTCTGGTGTTGTTGCACGCGTGTTTCTGCAGTGAATACAGTGTTGAGGATCACACAGGGAGGAGGAGAATGTCTTTCGGCAGACAGCCTTCGCTCGTTAGCTCAGATAGATGATCAAACCTCACCTCTATTGATTCTGCGCTGAATTCTTACAAAACTAAGTTCTGTTAATGCACAAAGCACACACAGAAATCTAGTTACCTGGATCATAATAATACTGAACCTACCTCAGAGTGTGTCCCCTTCTATTTGAGTCCGTCCCCTACTCTAGGAAGAGATGCAGTGCCACCTACTGTTCCGTTGCTCCCTCAATATTACTCAAGTCAAAATGAGAAATGAAGCCGTGCAATCATATCCAGGAAATGGAAAGGTGAGCTGCACAAATCAACGTCTGAGGACTGTGTTGTTCTTTGTGTTTTTCCAACGCAGGGGGTTCTCCTGGTTTACGATATCACCAACTACCAGAGCTTTGAGAACCTGGAGGATTGGTTCAGCATGGTGAAGAAGGCCAACGAGGAATGTGATACCCAGCCGGTTGTCTCGCTGATTGGGAATAAAAGTGAGAAATACGCATACATTAACACACATACAGTACTTTGAAAAAACTTAGTTGTGTAGTCAATCAAGTTTGGAAATTGTTCTATCTTCAATGGCTGCAAATGAAATCAGGCACTCTTATATTTAATAGACTGAGTTCTTCTCTATTCATTTCACCCTGACCTATTTTTTGTTTTTGCGTGTTTGTGTGTGGAGGAGTGCGTGTTTGATGGTAGCAGACGTGTTTGTTAGAGCACCAGATAACTGATCGGTGTGATAAGCCAGTTGATAAGAGAGTGAGGTTTTGGAGCGATGGGAATGCTGATGTTTGTGAACTCTGGGGAGTGGCTGACGATGATTTAAGATCCCCGGGCCAATGGACCTAGGGCACCGCTTATCTGAGCCCCCCCCCCCCCCCCCCCCCCCCCCACCACCCACCACCACCCACCACCCACCACCACCCACCACCCACCCACCCACCCAGCGCTCCTGTCCCGAGTCGTTGGTTAAGGAAAGGAACTCGACGTTAACCAGACGGGTCTCCTCCTATCAGCCTGCGCCCATCCACCCACCTCCAGAATAAAGAGTAATAATGATGACTCTTTTTAAACATCCCCTTGACAGATGTGGAGTCATGGCTGCCGCCGTGTTATTGTAAAGTGAGGCGTAAGTGTGTGTGTCTGTAATGGTGACTGTCCACCTTCCCGGGTGATGATGAACGGTCAACAGAGTGGTGCCTGCACACAGGAAGCTCTCGCTAATGTTACTCAACGGGGACCATAGGTCACGGTTTAATTCGCCTGTCTGGAGCAGATTCTCTTGTCTTCGCATCCGTTGCATCTCCTAATGCCCCGGCTTTAACGGTGGGCGCCTCTGTATTTAGGCTAGGTTTTGGGTGTATGGGTGAGTGTGTGTACTGTAATTCTTAAGTAGTGTCCATCCCGCTGTCAGGCTCCTCACCCCCACACTCGCACACTCCGTCTCCCCCTAATGGCTCTATTGCTGAGAATGGCCCATGTGTGTTTTTTCTGGTCCTACAGGCTGAAAAAAACAAAAACAAAATCCCACACAGTTTGCCCCACGAGGAGCAATCAATTACCTTACGAGACTTTGTGAATCCCTCAACCCTCGCTTGAAGAGTTAGTCTCGCTATCTAGCTTGAAATGTCCACACTTCCATTTTTGTTTCACTTTTTTCATCTCTCAATCCTTTTTTCTAACCTTTTTAAGTACTGTAGCATTTTCTCCAAAATGAACACACACAAACAATAAGCTGAACATATGAATACACAGCATATTTTCGGGAGCAGAGTTTAGATTTCCCTTCAATGGTTCCCATGATGTTGGACTGAGTGAGGCAACATATTTGTGACAACCAAAATAGAAGTACAGACATAACAAGGAGTTTATAAAAACACAGATTTATGTCTCTGTGAGGGCTCGTCTTAGGGGAGATTTTTAGTGTTTCCAGTTAGATAAACTGAAGGTCAGAAGTGGCTCTAGATGTCATGTGCGCAGTAGCACTTACTTTAGAGCAGCTGGAAATTTTTCTCCATGTAATAAAAGACCTGTTACAGTATTATAACATTTTAAATGTTCTTTTTAACATAAGTGAACATGGGAGCTACAATCAAATGTGACTCTGTTTGGCTTATTAACGGTACATGTGCTACCGTATACATCGAGTTTAAATCTCCTGATTTACCCTGTGCCTGCCTTCTAGTTTAATTTGAACACTGTCTTCTTTACCCGGTGTACGGTAAATGAGCCTATGGACCAGACTGGTTCATTAATGATGCTGTCCCCTCCTCTCCTTACCCTGGCCTGACTGCCCTCCTGTGCCATGTCACTGCTGGGGAACAGCCTTTCCTTTCTTCAGCTTAGCATGGCCGGCTGGGGTTAAGCGTGCTTGTTAAGCGTCACTACGCTGCACCCCCCATGCCCTCCGCACGCTGCCCAGAGCCTTGTGTTAAATAATGGCACCACTTGTAACAATTCAGAGAGGAAGCCAATGAAATGTTTTATTGAGGGTACACAATTATTTATGCAACTGCATGAACACACGCACAGAGAAACATGCATTTGTGCAAAGCGACACACTTGTGGAGTTCCTGAGAACACATGGGTAATGGAAGAATGCTAAACGTCTAAATGTCTAAACATACTATAACTGTTTATTACAGCGCAGCCCAGTGTAACACCGTATGGTACACAGGAACCTCTCAAGAGAAATGTTGGCTTGTTGCGCAGTCATCTACTCCACCACTCGAGTGTTTCATTTTCAGTAGACTAATAAGTGTATTTTGAAAGGACCCCAAACGATAAATTATTTAGCTCTTTGCTTTACAACAGCTGCGTTTGGACCGACGACTGTTTGCCTTTTGGATCAGAGATTGTCTGATATTAAACTACATGGCACTGTTAGCAGTCCTGATCCATATTTTACATCTTTTTGTGTGTTGTAATGTCCAGATATTCTCATTGAATGGGACCGTCAGCATTTTAAAATGGCTTATGTTACCTAACAGTAATGTTATGTTACTTAAGGCTGCGTCGTTTATCAAACCAATTTGTTTTTATTAAGTGGGGATCGCAGGACCTCCGCCCGCCCATCACCCTTCCCATCGCTAGCGCTCTCTCCCTCAGGAACTCCAGAGCATCAATCATGGGATTGTGCAGCCCTTATTTGGGTGACTTAAATGGGTTCAGTTCTCTTAACCCCTCCTCATCACTCATGGCTTTTTGCTCAGAGGTTCTAACGCTGTTCACTGCCGATCCACTCAGGCCTGCCATGGGAAACGTTCCCTCCTGCAGGGAGATAAGGTTCCCGCATGAAGAGAATTTGTTCTTGTATTTGTACACTCATTATGTCATACCTGCCTTTCTCTTCCCCTTTGTTTAGTTTACCCCCCCTTTCTTTCTACCTATCTTGCGCCATCTCTCAAACACACTTACACATTCATTTTTATCCCTGTGCAAACATGAACTCTTTCAATCACATACTTAGACCTACTCTGAACGCTTATCTCTCACATGTGTAGACTAACACTTCTGCTGAAGCTGCCTTTGCTTACAGTAATGTCTTTTCATTGGCTCCATGTCTCTGTTGTGTTAAACAACATGCGTGTTTGCTTTCTGCACGCTATGGCAGATCTCACCGCATACCCGTTACCCGTCACTCTCCCCAGTTTTCCACCCAGCCCTGTGAAAGTTAAAGTGAAACGTGGATCTCCCTTAACTCTCAATTCTCGTGAAGCATGTCCTTGCCACCAACATTGTTGGTCTTGAGTTGTTTGCCATCTTGGCAGGGCCTCGGGTGGAGTTGAAGCCTTCCCCCTCCCCAGCTCTCTCACCTCCGTCACCTCCCTGCCCCTGTAAAGCTGCCACAGTTCCTGTCTGTTCAGTGCAGGCCTGCACATTTCTTAATAGAGAGATGCTCAGAAGTCCAGGAGTGCCGAGGAGCTCAATGCGCTTCTGTTTTTGGTTTAGCTCAAAAATGTTTTTCCTGGCTCAACCCACTCGTACTTAGGTCCTCTTACAACAAACTAAAAGGTCCTAATTGCCCCCAGGGGAAAGGTTTAGCCACAATAGACATGTGGTGGGACAAAAGCCCAGTGCTCTTACTCTGCACCCCTCCCCAGATAGAAAGGATGAACACGTCAGCAGTGTCTGTTTTGCACTGTGGGTAGCGCGACCGCTGGTTCGACACTGTAAAACATTATATATACAATATATGGACCCAGTAAGGCATGGTGCTTGGTTCGGTAAAGATCTGGAATGTTTACAGTTTACTCCAAATCCAGTGTTTCCCGTTTCTCTTCATATTTTATGGAAGGTAAAGGGTCAGGACAGACATGTGTATCAAATTGTCTCAGTAACCGCACTGACTGTAGCCTGCTGTCTCTCTGTACGTCTGGAAAAGATGGGAAATAGAGATTCAGGTTACAAGAATTATAGCTGTATTACTCTGCGGCTGATAAGTCGGTGTAAAATCACAGCTGCAGATAATGAGGCGTGTGTCCGGCATTGATGAAGAAATGCTTTCTTGTGTTTGTTTAAACCTACTTAGGTGGCTGATAGGCGGTGCTTCCCACACAGAGCAATGCAACGAGTGTCAATCTGGTGCTCTTTGCTAAATGAACTGAATGCTAAGATTTAATTGTAACAACTGTTTGACCCAGCTCTGGTCCCTGCACTCATCTCTCGTGATTCTCATGCCTGTCGAAACATGGAAAGTCCTCATTCATTTTAGCCATCCATAAAGCAAATATTGTTGCACATGCAGTAGATGATCAGTCTTTGCATACCTTCTTGTGTGGCAAGTCACGGGCCATTTGAGTTGCACAGCACAGCTTAGCCACCTGACCTGAGTGCTGCCTGGAACCCTCATCACGCTCAGGCTTTACTTTATTTCTCTGCTTCACAACATTGATATGGAGGAATTCCTGGAAGGGGCCTTGCTGACACGGGGTTGGGTAAATAAGCGATTGATCTGGATCCACAGGCATATTTTATACATGTATGTGAAATATCAACACAGTTTTTCCCTTTCTTTTGTGGTGTTAAATATTACATCACTGTCTTTGGACCCTTCTCCCGCTTCAGGTTTTTAACTTGTTCGATGTTTGCTCAGGCAGTCGTGAGCAGGACTCACTCTTCAGGTTACAGTTCACTGCTCTCTTTCTTTCTAATTATGAATTGACTTTTAGTGATGCGAATGTGTACAATTACGAAGGCTCCCCTGTGCTCCATATAATTATTATAGCTCATAGTTATGCTGCCGCCTCACAAAGGCACGTATTACAGCTCGCCCATAAAAGTCCACTTAGTTTAACAGCGACAGGAGAGCTCGGAGGACATGGCCAGTGAAACCCAGGGCAGCGTCTTGTGTGGTCAGCTCAGAGCTGGGCCTTTTGTTCGCTTTTCACGAGTCCTGGGAGCCCGTTAACCCAGTCTGTGAGGCCCTCGGCCCCATGTTTTACTGTTGCAGTGACAGCCCGGCACTCCAGCTCTCTCTCTGCCT